CAGTGTGACGCGGCAGCTAAAAAAGCCAATGCAATTCTGGGCTGCATCAATAGGAGTATAGCATCTAGATCAAGGGAAGTAATAGTGCCACTATATTCTGCTCTGGTCAGACCTCACCTGGAGTACTGTGTCCAGTTCTGGGCACCACAGTTCAAGAAGGACACTGACAAACTGGAACGTGTCCAGAGGAGGGCAACCAAAATGGTCCAAGGCCTGGAAACGATGCCTTATGAGGAACGGCTAAGGGAGCTGGGCATGTTTAGCCTGGAGAAGAGGAGGTTAAGGGGTGATATGATAGCCATGTTCAAATATATAAAAGGATGTCACATAGAGGAGGGAGAAAGGTTGTTTTCTGCTGCTCCAGAGAAGCGGACACGGAGCAATGGATCCAAACTACAAGAAAGAAGATTCCACCTAAACATTAGGAAGAACTTCCTGACAGTAAGAGCTGTTTGACAGTGGAATTTGCTGCCCAGGAGTGTGGTGGAGTCTCCTTCTTTGGAGGTCTTTAAGCAGAGGCTTGACAACCATATGTCAGGAGTGCTCTGATGGTGTTTCCTGCTTGGAAATGCCTTGCTGAAATCAAGGTAGACTACATCCACTGCGTTCCCTTCATCTACCAGGCTTGTAATTCTGTCAAAAAACGAGATCAGGTTAGTCTGACATGACTTATTGACTTATTTTTCAGAAATCCATGCTGACTATTGGTGATCACAGCATTCCTTTCTAGGTGCTCACAGACTGTTTGCTTAATGATCTGCTCCAGAATCTTCCCTGGTATTGATGTCAGACTGACTGGGCGGTAATTATTTGGGTCCTCTCTTTTCCCCTTTTTGAAAATAGGGACAACATTTGCCCTCCTCCAGTCTGCCGGGACTTCACCTGTTCTCCAGGAATTCTCAAAGATGACTGCCAGTGGTTCTGAAATCACATCTGCCAGTTCTTTTAATACTCTTGGATGCAGTTCATCTGGCCCTGGAGACTTGAATACATCTAGACTAGCCAAGTACTCTTGTACTATCTCCTTAGTTATTCTGGGCTGTGTTTCCTCTGCTGAATCATTTGCTCCAAATTCTTCAGGTCGGGCATTGTTTTCTTTATCGGAGAAGACTGAGGCAAAGAAGGCATTGAGGAGTTCAGCCCTTTCTGTGAGCCCTGTTTGCATTTCACCATCTTCTCCTCTGAGTGACCCCACTGTTTCTTTGTTCTTCCTTTTGCTACGAACATACCCATAAAAGCCTTTTTTGTTGCTTTTAACCTCTCTAGCAAGCCTGAGTTCATTTTGTGCTTTAGCTTTTCTGACTTTGTGTCTACACGTGCTGGCTATTTGTTTGAATTCCTCTTTGGTGGTTTCCCCCCTTTTCCATTTTTTGTACACATCCTTTTTTAATCTTAACTCAGTTAAAAGTTCTTTAGATAGCCACCCTGGCTTCTTTAGGCACCTTCCATGTTTCCGTCTCATTGGTATTGCCTGAAGTTGTGCTTTTACTATCTCCCTCTTAACAAACTCCCAGCCATCTTGAACTCCCTTTCCTTTTAGTATTACTGTCCATGGGATCTCACCCAGCACTTCCCTAAGCTTTATGAAGTCGGCTTTCTTAAAGTCGAGAAATTGAGTCCTAGTATGCTTGGCTGCTCCTTTCCGCTGTATAGTAAACTTCAGAAGAGCATGATCACTCGCGCCTAATGATCCTTCCACTTCTACCCCACTAACCAGGTCATCAACATTGGTTAGGACCAGATCTAAAATGGCTGTTCCTCTTGTTGCTTCTCCCACTTTCTGGACAATGAAGTTGTCTGCAAGGGCAGTGAGGAATCTGTTTGACCTTATGCTCTTGGCTGAGTTTGACATCCAACAAATATCCGGGTAATTGAAGTCCCCCATTACTACTATCTCCCTTCCTTTTGCATGCTTGGCCATCTCTTCCAGGAAGGCATCATCTATGTCCTCCGTTTGGCTTGGGGATCTATAGTAAACTCCCACAATGAGGTCACTGTTATTCTTCTCTCCCTTAATTTTGACCCAAATGCTCTAACTTTGGCTTTGAGGTTCTAAATCTTGGATCTCTTCACAGGTATACACATCCCTGACATATAACGCCACTCCTCCTCCTTTCTTGTCTGGTCTGTTTCTCTGAAATAGATTGTATCCCTCCATTATTACCTTCCAATCGTGGGATTTATCCCACCAGGTTTCAGTGATTCCTATTATGTCATATTTAGTTTGCTGTACCAGGAGCTCAAGCTCATCTTGTTTATTTCCCATGCTTTGCGCATTAGTGTACAGACATTGAAGTCCATTAATCATCCCCCCGTGTCTCTTATTTAAGGATTTTCTCCTCCCACCACTAGGTCTGCATGCTCTTTGCTCCATTCGGTCTATGACATTTGGATGATCATCTTCATCAATTGATAGACTCCTACCTTCAGGAGCATTGTCTCCCTCCCCCACATTAGTCAGTTTAAAGCCCTCCTGATGAGGTTTCTGAGATTTTTTGCAAAAACATTCCTCCCAACCGTTGTGAGGTGCAGCCCATCGCTTGCCAGAAGTCCATCTTCAAGAAACTGCATTCCGTGATCTAAGAATCCAAACCGTTCCTGTTTGCACCATTTGCGAAGCCAGTTGTTCACTTCCACTATTTTTCCCTCTCTCCCTGGGCCACGTCGTTCAACTGGGAGGACAGATGAGATGATAATTTGTGCATTTAATTGCTTCAATTTCCTGCCCAGAGCCTCGTAATCTCTTTTGATCTTCTGGAGGCTATTGCTTGCAGTGTCATTGGTTCCCACATGAACCAAGAGGAAGGGGTATTTGTCAGTGGGTTTTATGATTCCTTGCAGTCGTTCAGTTACATCTTGGATCTTAGCCCCGGGGAGACAGCACACTTCCCGAGACATCTTGTCAGGCCCACAGATCACTGCTTCTGTTCCCCTCAGTAGGGAATCCCCTATCACCACTACACGCCTCCTCTTAGGTCTGGTCGGGGTTCTTCTGTGAGCTGTCGGTTCCAAGGTTGCCTGGACATTCCCTGAGGACTGCCTTTGCTCCTCGTCTTCATATACCTGATCGACTGTAATGAGGGAGAGATCCTCAAATGGAGTGTGCTCTTCGTCTTCCATGCTAGGGGAAAGGACCTCAAAGCGATTGTGTATTTCTAAACAATCAGAGCGAACCCTGGGCCTCCTACTTCTTTGAGTCACGTTTATCCATATATCTGGCTCCTGTGTTGGTGAGCTAGCCTCCTTCTCAGGGGAGTCCCCTGTCTCTTCCTTGGTGGAGACGGTGTGCTCTGTTGCTTCCAAGAAGAGCTCCAGATCTCTAATTCTTTGGAGCGTAGCTACACGTTCCTCCAGTTGCTGGACTTTGTCTTTTAAGAGGGCAATCAACATGCAATTGCTGCAGGTAAAGCTGCCTGCAACCTTTGGCAAGATGGCAAACATTGCGCAGGAACCACAGGCGACTGCAGCTGTTCCCTCACCCTCCATCTTGGGAACGTGTCGTTGGGGGTGACTACAGTGGTCCTCTATCATAAAAAGTGTGGAGACAGGACAAATAAATCCCTCCCAAAAAACCTAGGTCTCCCCCAACAAATGTTTGAGACTAGCTCCCCTAAATCTAAAATATGGATTTTGATTGTCTTCTGTCTGGGATTATCAGGGTTGGCATAGCAACTGGGCAGGGCTCCTGTGGATGTGCTGGGATGGTGAAGGGATTATGGCTGACCAGAACCAAGCCACCCCCCTTTGATAGTCCTTGTCATATGGAGTAAAATAAAAATGGAACAGTACAGATCCGATGTATGGTTGATTTTTCTATGAATTTATAACAGGAGTGTGGCATATGTAGTGTGTGAGTGTGAGTGTGAGAAGTTTGTACAAACTGAATGATTGGGGTGGGGGTTCCTGCTACAGTTTATATACTTATGTGTTTGCCTTGTAAATTTATTAACATTTATTTTTTATATATAAGACCTTAGCATCAAACCAGAGCTGGATTTAGGTTTGATGAGGCCCTAAGCTCCTGAAGGTCGTGGGGCCCTTTATCTGTCCAGCTGTCCTTTGTCGATGGGATGCAGGTGGCGCTGTGGGTTACACCACAGAGCCTAGGACTTGCCGATCAGAAGGTCGGTGGTTCAAATCCCTGCGACGGGGTGAGCTCCCGTAGCAGTTCGAAAGCACGTCAAAGTGCAAGTAGATAAATAGGTACCACTCTGGCGGGAAGGTAAACGGCATTTCCGTGCGCTGCTCTGGTTTCGCCAGAAGCGGCTTAGTCATGCTGGCCACATGACCCGGAAGCTGTACGCCGGCTCCCTCGGCCAATAAAGCGAGATGAGCACCGCAACCCCAGAGTCGGCCACGACTGGACCTAATGGTCAGGGGTCTCTTTACCTTTACCTAAGCTCCTGAAGGTTGTGGGGCCCTTGATATGTCCAGCTGTCCTTTGTCAACAACAAATTGTCACTGTTTTGTGTTGAATATATGCTATATGCTAATTTATGGACCTAAGAGGTATCTTAAAGCCATTTGCACATAACAAAATAGGAGCTGATGCAGCACAAAACACTGTTGCTGTATGAAGTTTTTATTTTATTTGTTTTTTATCTTATATTTTGGAAATGTGCCTCGTTTCCCCCCCTTTGGTCTTTTAGGGGGCCCATGAGAGTGGGGCCCTAAGCTAAGTATTTATCTCCTTGACCTCGAATTATTATGAAAAATGAGCCCCCTCTGCCCCCCCCCATTCCAGAGCAGAACCGTAATAATGTTTTTTTGTGGGGGGGGGCAGCCGCATTTGGGGCGACGCTGGAAGATCTCCCAGGCCGGCCGCGCAAGAGACAGGGCAAAGGGAGGACCGGACTGGGCATGCGCGCGCTTCACCGGCCGCATTCCCACCTGGCGGATGCGTCGAAAATGACGTTCGTGGGCGGGGCGGTGACGTCAGAGAGCGGGGCGGGGCTCGTGCTCACGTGGCGCGGACGCGACGGAGAGCAGGTAGGGGCAGGCCCCCCCCCTAAAAAGCAGAACCGGGGACCCATTGCAAGCAGCCCCCCCCCAACCCTGATCTCTGCAGGCGGGAGTTCCACCGGTGAAGGCCCCGGTTGTGTGGCTGCCTGGGCGGGGACCCGGCGCGTCCCTCGAGGGGAGGGCTCGGGGGTGCCCCCTTGCGCCCCCATGCCAGGCCGGAGCAGCCGAGCGCAGGTGGCCCGAGGCGCCTGCTGTGTAAGTAGCTGGAGTGGGGCCCCCAGACCCCCCATCGCCGCCTCCTAGGGGGCAGGAAGCCGGCCTGGCGGGGGGGGGGGTAACGGGGTCCCTGCCACGCCCCCTAAGCCCCCCACTTTCCTCCCCCAGGTCCTTCTCCTGGCGCTGCTGATGCTCCCTCTGCTGCGCAGGGCCTGCCAGCTCTTCTCCTCCATGGCCGCCTCCGCCGGGGGCCCCTACGTCCCCGGGACCCTCTCGGCCGCCTTCGTCACCTGCCCCAACCAGACCGTCGCCAAGGAGATTGCCAGGTGAGCCCCGCCTGGGGGTTGGGATGGATGACCCCGGGGGTCCCTCTCCAATCTGCTGCTCCAGTTGGAAAGCAGGGCCACCCTGGGAGCTTCCTTCCGCCTTGCCCCCTCCCCGGCCGATGGCGAGGGGGGCCCTGAGGGTCTCTCTCTCTCTCCCGCAGGGCCCTCGTGGAGAAGAAGCTGGCAGCCTGCGTCAACATCGTCCCCCAGATCACCTCCATGTGAGTGAGGAGGGCCTGGGCCAAGGTGGGGCTGCGAGGCGGCAGGGCACCCCAGAGAAGGGGGGCGGGGGTACACCACCCACCCACCTCCCCAAACCCAGGCTGAGGGTTGGGGTTGGACTCGTTGGCCCCCGGGGTCCCTTCCAGGATTTGGGGGGTTTCCTTCCTGTGCAATTTCATTTCGTTATTATATTTACATACATTTTTATTATTATATACATTTCAATTATTCCCACCAGGAGCTCTGCAACGGGGGGGGGGGGGGGCTGGGCCCGGGCCCCTTTGCACCCTCGGCAAAAGGGCTCCCCCCTTCCTGGGGGGCATCACAAGTCACCCCCCTTTTTATTTCATCACATCTCTGCATGGCCCACCCTTCCTTCCTGGGTGCCGTATGTGGTTCTGCTGCCCCTCACAACGGCCCTGTGAGGCAGGCCACGGCCAAGAAGGGGCTCCCATGCGCCCTCGCCTGATGCTCTAACCACTGCACCACCGCTGCCTCCCCATCTCTCTCTTGCAGCTACGAGTGGAAGGGCAAGATTGAGGAGGACTCGGAGGTGCTGCTGGTGAGTCCCTCGGCCCCCCCGGCCCCCTCCCTATAGGTCCACAGAGGCGAGGGGGAAAGAGGCCTCCAAACGCCCAGCTGCACCGTCTGGTCTTTGGACTGCTCCACTGTGCTGGGGGGCAGGGAAGCCCCCCATTAAGGAGGTGCTGTGTTGGGCACCTGGGAGGGATTTCTGGCCTGGCGCCCCCCCCCCCCGGCCAGGAGGGGGCAGAAGCAGCCTAGAATACGTTGGGAGGCTGCTCAGAGCATCCCCTCTAACCATTGGGCGACACTTCCAGTCGATGAACGCTTTGTATTCAGATCCTGCCTCTCCCCCCAACAGATGATCAAGACGCGCAGCTCTCGTGCCTCAGCCCTGGCAGAGTTTGTCCGGTGAGTCGCCTGGGGGTGAGGATGGCCGGGGGACACACACATTGAAGGACCCCGCTTCAGCCCCGCTGCGAGGTAACGCCCCCTTTTCTGCCCCTGCAGGTCGGTGCACCCTTACGAAGTGGCGGAGGTGATCGCTGTCCCCATCCAAGAGGGGAACCCTGCCTACCTGCAGTGGGTCGAGGAGACTGTCCCAGAGTGAAGCGGAGGGGCTGGGGGGCGCCCCACAGCCAAGGAGGAGGTTTTAGGAGGAGAGCAGAAATAAACACCTCTCCGCCCCAGCCTGGTGGGGAGAAAGCCAAGGTGGTGTGGTCTGAATCTGTCCCGGGGGGCAGGAGGTGGGGGTCCGGGGAGGGGTCTCTGCCAGGCAGGCTTCGGCCTGCAAACTGCCCTGATCTCTCGAAACTGGACCCGCGAAGCAGCTGCGCCAAGATCAGGTTTGGGGAATGATGCGACGTCCCTCCTCCTCCGCTGGCCCCCCTAAATGGGCTCTTGTCCAGCCCCAGGCAGGGCTCCCCACCCCACAGCCAGCCAGGCGGGATCCTGGCCCCCTCGGCTCTGCCTCCGAAAGGCAGCCCTTCCTCAAGCAGCAGAGTTCACCTGCGGAACTCCCTCCCACTGGAGCCAATGATGGCGGGCACACTCCGCCTCCCCGGTCGGCGGCAGCCAATTCTTCCGATCGCCAGTTGCTGGAAAACACAGGAGGAGCAAGTTCTTCTTGTGCCTGGATCATAGAAGCGTGGGCTGGCAGAGCTGGCAGGGAGCCTGGGGGTCATCTAGCCCAACCCCCTGCAGTGCCCCAGCGTGGGGCTCAAACCCGCAACCTGAGATTCAGAGCCTCGTCCTCTCCTGCCCCAGCCACCCCAGCAGTCCTGCCTGGGGGCTGCCTTTGGCTGCCAAGGGAGCCTCCAGGCCCAGTCCTTGGGCTTTTTGGCCAGGAGGCTGGGCTGGACGGGCCTGATCCGGCAGGTGCTTCTGATGCTTTTAGGTGGGTTTTTTTGGGGGGGGGGTCTTGGGCCCCAGGAAGCAGCTGCAGGCGGCAAAGTCTTGCCCAGAAACTCTTTTATTTGGAAGTGCTTTGTACAACAGTCAGTCTAGCAGCAGCAGAGGCAGTACTACAGGCGCAAGGGGGGGCTGTGTGTGTTTGGGGGGCAGCCGAGGGGGCGCTCTCTCTCTCTCCCACTCAGGCCTCTTTAAATAATACCACCTTTAACCAACAAACAGTAAAAAAATAAGCAGGACTCAAACTCTTTTTGGGGTCCAAGACGATGATATGGGGGGGGGAGCAGCAGCAGCAGCAAGTAGAAGAAACTTGGGGGTCTCCTGCCCCCCCAAAAGCAAGAAACGGCACAGTCCACATTCCTCAAGCGGGTAGGGGGAGCCGCCCCACGGCCTGCCCCCCAGAATTGCACTTGTTGCTCTCTCCTTGGCCAGGCACATTGGGGGCCCCTCTGGGTCCCGCTTTGGGGCCCCTAAAACATGCTGCCCCCCTCCCACTCCACCAGGTACTGCACGGTGCCCTCGGTGGTGACACGGCGAGCCAGGATGCGCACCGCCTCCCCCCGCGCCAGCCGCCCCATGGGTCCAAAGTAGCCCGAGCTGGTGGGGCCGCCGGGGGCCACGCAGAGGGCCGAGGGGGCCGGGGCAGCCTGCGGGGGCCGCTTGGGCGCCAGCGGCACGGAGTGTCGGCGCAGGAGTGTCCGGGGGGCGGGGCCGTCATCCCCCGGAGATCGCTCTGGGCTGCCCCGCTCCGCAGGGGCGGCGTCACCAGGGTCTTGGGGGGCTCCGCTGTTGGTGCTGCAGAAGGAAAGGGGGGGTCACTTGCTGCAGCCAAAGTCACCCCGAACCTCAGCTTGCCCCCCGCGTGCCCCGGACGGCCAGCGCTACAACTCCCAGCAGCGCCTGGAGTGCAGGAAGCAGGAACTCGCGGGTCCCTGATAGACGGCCGCCCAATCTCTGGGGAAGGAGAGGCTCCCCCCCCCCTGCCTCCCGTTGCCGCCTCACAACAACCCTGTGAGGTGGGCTAGAGACTTCAAGGCCGCCTGGTCCGCTGCATGGCTGAGTGGGGCTCTCCCAGGTCCTAGTCCGATGCTCTAACTGGAGGAGGGTGGGGCTCACAGGGGCCGCCCTGACCTGGCAGAGGCCGGTGTCTCGGAGGGGCACCTTGTCTGACGCCAAGGGGGTGGACCGGATGACCCTTGGCGTTCCCTCCCCATCCAATCCAGGGTCAAACAGCCATTCATGAGGCCGCTCACCCCACAGGCTGGAGAGCGGCCTCTTGGGCGTGTTGGGCTGGCAGGGGCAGGGGGCTGTGTTGGGCCAGGCTTCCTCTAGAGTGGTGGTGGTGGGGCCAGTGAAGCCCCCCACTTCCATCCAAGCCCCCCTGGGGAAAGTGGGGCGCACCCCTCCCTCCCTCCCTCCTGCTCACCTCAAGGTCCCTGCAGTGTTGGCCGAGGGATGGAAGGAGGCGAACATCCGGATCGGGGCGCTGCAGGATGGGGGAGAGAGAGGCAGGCCGTCAGTGTGGGGCGGGGAACCCCCCCCCCCGCCGTGGGGCTGCATTGCTTGCCCCCTCACCTCTCCTGGCAGCGGGCGTCAGTGCGGCGGAAGTTGTAGGAGCTGGAAGTGCCGCCGTAGCCGCCGTAGCTCTGGTTAGCGCTGACTGGGTGCTGCACCACCTCCTGGGGGCGGAGAGAGGGGAGGGGGGCTCTTGAGAGGGACGCAGTACGCCCCCCCCGGTCCCCCACCCCGCCCTTCCTGGCCCCCCGCCTACCTGAGTGAGGGCCCTCTCCAGGCGCTCCCTCTCCCGGGTGCTCCGCTGCTGCTGCTGCTCCTCCTGCTGCTGCGCCCACTGCCCCCCGCTGCCACTCGGGGCCGGCGGCTGCCCCTTGCGCCGGCGCTGTGGCTGCTGCCGTGGCTGCCCCCGCCGCCCGGCCCTCGGGCGCTCCAGCCCCTTCCCACGCCTGCCCTGCCCTGAAAGGAAGCTGTAAGAGACCCTCCTTATCTGCACGGCACGGAGGGGGGTGCCGAAGGAGCAAAGGCGGGGGGAGGCCCTGCCCCCTTTCCCACCCCCTCGGGGCGGGGGAGACCCCCGGCTCACCTGCTGCCCGCGATGAAGGGGGTCCTGGGCGCGTCCCCGGAGCCGTCGGCCCCCTGGGGGGCGGGTGGGGGGACGCGGCAGTGCAGCCCGAAGAGGCCCTTGCGCTTCTTGATCTCCTTCCCGGAGATGAACCTGCAGAGGAGGCAGGTGTGATGGGGCGGCTCTTGAACCCAGCACCAGCAGCCCCCCCCGGGTCCCACGGCCCACGCCAGACCTGCCACCCCCTCACCTGTCCTTGTGTCCCGTCAGGGCGTTCAGCAGCTGGCTGTAGCGCTCTCCCTTCGGGGTGTCCGAGAGCTGTGGGGAAAGGGGCAGCGTCAGACCCCCGCCACCCGCAGGCCAGGGTGCCCCACCCTGAGGCTCCTCCTTCATGGGGGGCGGATCCTGCCTTCTGGCCCACACTGCCAATCCCCAACATGAAAGGGCTCCTAGACTTTTACCAGGTCCCATCCCCTGCAGTTCAAGAATGTTTTGTCCCGCATGGGACTTGAACCCGCAACCCTGAGAGTCAGAGTTTGGTGCCCCCCCCGCTCTTCTCCTCCCGCCCCCAGGATCCCTCCCCCCACCGGCCTCTCACCTCGCCCAGCAGGAGGCTGTCCCAGTTCTCGCTGGCGAAGGGCAGGATCTCGCGCTCAAAGTCAAAGTACTTCTTCTTGCAGCAGATGCTGAGGTGGTAGAGGATGAGGTGGGCCACGTCCACCCTGCGGGGGGGGGGGGGCAGGCGGGAATCCCTCAGCGCAGCCAGCGCAGCCCCCCACCCTCCCGGCCCCCCACTCCCTCCCGGTGCCTCCTGGCCCTTGAGGTGGCGGCTTCCTTCGCTCTGGCGCCAAAACCTCCTTCCCCGTTCTGCTCTCTCTTTGCTTTCTAGATCAGCTGCTTAATTCTGACTGACTTCTTCTAAGTTTCCAAGCCTGTCCCATTTATCCCAAGCGGCGTATTTGGAAATCAAGAGATGAACAGGAAGCTGTTAATTAAAGGGCCCAAGTGGATCAGGATACACTCCAGATGTGGTTTTTTAAAGGACCCACCTTCCTTTGGCCCTCTTTAAACTGCTTTTATATGGAATGGCAGTTGGCAGGGACCCCGAGGGTCATCCAGTCCAACCCCCCAAGATGCAGGGACCTCCTGCCCAACGGGGGGCTCGATCCCGTGACCGAGTCTGGGCTGGGGCCAGGCCGCTGCATTGCTTTCTTGTGCTTGAGCCCCACTGCCGCCCCAAAGCGCCCCCTCACCATCTCAGGGGGAGACGCCGGACGCTCTCTGGGCCTCCCGTGCAGACGCAGCACTCAAAGACGTAGAACCTGCCGGGTGGAGCCGGGGGGGGGTCAGTCACAAGATGCCCTCGCCCTCTGACCCCCACCCTCCCCCTGCCCAGGGCTGCCCCTCACCTGTCCCCGTAGAGCAGCGGCTTGCTCAGGCACTGGGTGCAGGCCTCGTGGAACCACTGGGCGCAGCAGCGGCACTGCAGCATCTTCAGGTTCCACCTGAGGCAGAGGGAGAGAGGGGGCCGTCAGCTGAGCGCCCCCCAGCACACAGCCCCCTCCGCAGAGGGACACACAGGCGCCCGGTCCCAGAGGCAGGGCCCTCCCTCCTCCCCGCAAGCCCCCCTCTTCCGCCACCCCCCTGCCAGGGGGGGGGCAGACTCACTCTCCGGGGCCCCCACAGTAGCAGTAGCACTGCTGGCGGTTGGCGAGGTGCTCGGCGTCCCACTCCAGGGACTTCAGCTGGTAGGGCAGCACCAGCTTCATGCCCAGCATGGCCTTGGCGTAGGGCCCCTTCTTGAGGGCGCCGCCCCGCTGCGGAAGGAGGAAAGCCGTGGGGCAGAGTCAGTGCGCGGGGCGCAGAAGGGGGCCCCCACCCCATGCAGGCTCTCGCCACAGCAGGCTGGTCTATGGCAGAGGGAGAGCCGTGGGGCTGGGACAGAGGACCTCTGGGGGTCCCTTCCAGCTGTGGGGCAGAGGAGACCACTCTTACCTTGGTGGCCACAGCAAAGACACACTGCCGGCACGTCCAGGCCCCATCGCTCAGCACCCGGGGCAGGTGGCATTCCTGGTGGTAGGCTGTGGGGGGGGGGGAGAGGAAGGAGGGTCATCAGCGGGGCAATGGGGGGGGAGGGACGGGGCCCCAGGGGCGGCTTGTGGGGCTCCTTTGGCGGACTTACCGTGGCTGCATTTCTCGCACCGCACCAGCCGGTTGTCTGGG